CACACACACACACACACACACACACCTGACTTGTGTGTGTGGTTTATTTTTTATTTTTCATTTTCGTTCGTGTTAGGGTCAGCGCTTGTGTGTTTACGCACATCATTTGTTGTATGACAACAAAAAAAAACGTGTGTTGTCGTTAGTTGTTGCAGGCTGCAAAAGGTGTGTGGAATTGCGATGTTGACACTGAACTGGTCAATCGCGGGAGGTCGGCTGCTTGAAAGGTAGATCTCGGGTCAAAAAAAAGGTTGGGGCATCCTCGGTCTGCTTGAACACTGATTGAACAGGTGACACAGTTTCCGCATGAATTGATCTTTAATCATTTGAAGGGAACTCCATGACAACACTTTCATTCTTCTGTCCGACCGTGCGTTGTTGCTGACGTTTTGGTGAGAAATGAATGAATGATGATGAATGACCTCACGAGTTTCCATGGATAGATCGATAGATAGAAAATAAAATGCCGATTTGTTCGCCATTCCCTATTTCTTCCTTTCATCTGTGCTAATGAGCTCCAAATGTATGGGAATGTCTTTCCCCCGGGTAGAAGACGCTCACGCTCACTCGATGATTACATAAACCCTGTAAAAGAGAAAAAAAAAAGGCAAGAAAACCCTCTCATGTGTAGAAAGAACCGTATGTGCTCTCTTCCCACGTCTTGATGACACTGCAGTGATTAGCAGCCTTTTATTTTGCTTAAAAGTATGTCACATTTGCATAAAGAGACTCCTTTTATTAGTGATGATGATTTGTCCTCGTTCTACAATAATCTGGCATCTCTGCGTGCGCCCAATGATTGAGGAAGTGTTTCATATTCTAGAACACATGAGAGGACACTTCCAAACATCCGTCATTAGAAATGGAGTCATGCAGACACTGCGTGAATGCAGGAATCCTCAACTGGGTTCAGCCAAACTGGCGCAACCTGAATGTTGATCAGATAGACATCCAAAGCATCTCTGCTATTGTCTGCCTGTCTCGACGAAAAGAATACTCCTGAATTAGACAAAGAGTCCACCGCTATTCAAACATACAAGTCAGATAAAGGTAGTCTGAGCCTCGTTGGCCTCGGCGCTAAATCTTCCAGTTGTATTTCATCTCACATGCGATAACCTGCTGCTAGCAGATAAGGATAAAAGCCATTCATTAAGACTCCTTCAGCGTCATGAGCCACTTTCCACTGCGTATCACCGCAAAGGGCTCTACTCGCCTCCATTTGACATGGTCAGCCTTTGGAAACTGCTCAGTTCACTCGTGTGAAGACGCCTCGGTCAGGAACATGCTAACGTACAGCGTCAACAACAGAAACACACTGTTGTCAATGCGACACAATTCAATAACACCGCAACAATTTAAAATGATCACAAACTGGATTGGAACCAGTCGACTCAATCATGTTATTGTGGTGCCTCTACTTACGAAATTAATTGGTTCTCGAAGAAATTTCTTCAGTGGAACATTTTGTAAGTAGAGACGCGTTTTCCATGTAAATGCCCTAATCCGTTCCAAGCCCCGCCATAATTCAGACATAATGTTTTCTAAAGCATAAAAATGCATCAAAATATGTAACAAATTCATGTTGCAATGAGATAATTGCACAATAAATGAGAGTTGTGCATACTGTAAAAAACAAAGAATAAAGAATAAAAATGATGTTAATCATTTAACTTTTAACTGCGTCCTCATCGTTTTTTGCCCTCTTCAGGTCCATGTTCTCTCTCAGAAGTGGTTTTTGCTTGGCGTTTTGTAAACAACTGATCCAAGGACGTTTGCTTTTGTCGGCTTTTAACAATCCTTCGAAAATGTCAAAAAGGCAAACATCGTGAGCGATCGCCCGAGTGGTGAACACTTTTTCTGGGAAAAGCGAATCAAGTGCTGACTACAATCTTTAGCGTAACCACTTTTCACTACTTCCTTGCATGTGACCCTTGAAGAACATGAATATTGCTGCATGGATGATTAACGGCAATATGAAAGGTGACCCGAACCCATTTCTATTCATTGGAGTATTTTGCAATTCCCCCGAGCCAGCAAAGTGCACTGATGTGAGTGTGTATCTCCAGTGTGTGTGTGTAAAGTTAAAAAAAAAAAAAAATAAATAAATAAATGGAAAGCAAAGAGGCCACAGCTGAAATATCAATCAAAAGGTAAAGGATGCTTCGCACATGCTGCTCTGTACCAAAGCCAATATATATAAGCTTAGTGAGGCCGTTGGCAAATCAGTGAGTGGGCTGTACGATAAATCTTGAGGCTTGGAGTCGTAGGTGCAGGTGAATTTGCATCGGTTGATTTATGAGTGTTTTTTTCGATAGGATCATTGAATTGTATAAGCAATTTTAGACTGTTTAATATATTAATGCGACATCAAGTGCCAAGGTTGCATTCATATTCAGCTACCGAATTTGAATTCTAGATCGTTATTCTTCAAAACCAGGACGGAGACACTGTCACCATCTAATGGCGACTTGGTCGTAGTCCAGTTCATAAATGATTTCGACTTCGGAACATTCTCCGTGGTCACATACTGTTCAAAGTGTGCTTTAAGATGAAATAAAAAAGATTATTATTGCGACATGAAGACAAAATACAAGAGAAAAGAGAAAAAACGAGTGGACAAAATAAATGAGCTATTTTCACAAAAGACATGGATACACCCAACATTGTGGAGCGATCACGATTCAGCGGGTACCATTTTAAAAAACATGTCAATCAGAGTGTATTTTCATTCAACATGCTGTCCCCGCAAAACGGACCATCAGATTGAATTCTGTGCAGGGAACTCATGTCCAACATGTCCACACTATCATTTCTTTTCTCTGCAGTTGTCCGACAGACCGTGCTGTTGTAAACGCTGCTGTTCTGGTCTGACTTCAAAATGGGCTCCGAAGTGATCTACGGTAAAGTCTGTCTGTGAACAATTGCATTTTCAGTGAGCTGTTCACTCGTTTTGCACGGATGGCACACCCGGTGATTGATTGGGGCATGACATCTATCAGATGCCGTGGATAAATAAGCACAAAGTAACCGTATTGACGACTAAAATCATGTATCTCCGAAGAAGGTGAACATGCACGCATTTATCGAGGGTACTTATTAGAGTGTCTTTATTCCTGGATAAGCTCATGATATCCACGCATGGCTGCCGTGCAAGCAAATGTCGACTTCCTCCGAGGTTGGCCTTCCCCCTATGAACCCTTGGGACACCCAACAGATCCACTTAATTCACAATGATTTTGGAGCGTCTCCAAATGAACAAGCCCTCGTTTGCCCGTTTCTTAGGAAGAACAACCGAGCAGGAGTGGAGCGCTGAGGTTGCAGCTGCAATGATGTGCAGAGAATAAGGTCAAAAGGCCTCCTATCAGAAAACATTACATCTTTGCTGTTCACCCCCCCAGTGCACTTGAAATAGTCCGTGATGGCACAAGCAGCTGTGCGCAGGCTCATTAAAGATGATGCAGGTAAAAGGAGCTTGCGATAAATGTCGAAGGCTTTGTTGCTGTATTTTGAAATCAGGCTGTTCGAACTTTCCCTACCTTTCCTCGAATAACTAAGAGAACAGTGACACTTCACTTTTCAAGTTTTTTTTTTTAATTCCCAAAGGAGAGACATAAAAAAAAAAGGAAAAAAAAGTGATGATTGATTCGGCACATTGCCGAGACGCCTGGCTTTAAATTCCCCGATGAGACAATAGCGGGCGGGCTCTGACTTTGGGGGTGCTGGGGGGGGGGGGGCTGTACTTGATTAATACGGCCACTCAGCCCATTGCCATAAAAGTTTTACGCCAACTACTTTCCGGATGTATGTTCAAGAGAGTACCGAGGGGTGTGTGTGTGGTTGATGTACTTGTTCCTAGGGAATCAATAAACATGATTTGCAGACAATGCTTCGGTGTAGCCTACAATATTCATAAGGATGCAGCCAGCAGATTATCACTACCCCCGCATCCGCTGCTTTATGTCCTTTATCTCCGTTGAATAGCTAGAAGCAAAAACATGCCGTTTGTCTGTGGTCCCTACGCTCTCCTCCTCCTCCTCCTGCTCCTGCTCCTGCTCCTGCTCCTGCTCCTGCTCCTCCTCCTTGTGCGCTTACAGTAGCGCAGATGCACGTTCACGCTGGCTGTAAACTCCTGCATTGCACTGAGCGCAACTGTACAGCGGCACCCGGTGCACGAGGTGCTGGACGATCGAGCCTCTTTCTCTCTCTCTCTCTCTCTTTCTGTTTTTGCGTCACAGAAAGCCCTATCATCACCACCCCCTGCCCCCGCCAACCACGAGGGCACGCAGATGCACGGCGCTGGCGGATGTACAAAACGCCGCAGTCACACCGACGATAAAAGATGAGGAGAGCAAGATGCGATGATGTGATTCGATTGCGCGCCGATGGAGGAGGCTCATCCAACCACTTTGCCCATCAACACTTTTTCTTCTCCTTTTGAGGTGTCAGATGGCTTCTGGCTTTCATCCATAAGTGCCACTTTCATTCCACTCTTGTTCGATTCCAAACTACACAGTTTTATCCCCCTACTAACACTTTTCACTCGGCAAGCGACTCCGGATGGGGACGATGGCCGATGTGCAATGGAAGTCGCCGTGCAAAACCGATGCCATCCACCAATACAGTGCTACTGCTCTCATCAGCCATTTGTAGCAGGGCTTACCTTCAGGTCTTTGTGGGTGTAGCTGTCTCTTCGAGGCATCTCACAACTACTCCACTCCCCAAAACTGTGCAGTCCTTTTTTTTTTTTCTTCCCCCCCCTCCGGTTTCTGGCTCTCCTCTACTGCCACCCCGCTCCTTCTGCTCCTCACAGCTCTGTATCAAGTGTGAGCGAGGGCTGTGTGTCTCAGGCAGAGAGGCATGGGTGGGGGAGAGATAGAGGCAGAGTCAGAATGGGAGAGAGAGGACAAGACAACGGGATGTCGATATGTTCCCGGTGTCTTGGTTGCTTCTCTCTTGCCCCTTCCATGCACACATGAAACCTCTTTTCCCTTCAAGGATTCATCCCTCACCTGCGTCCATGTGTGCTTGCATTACGTCTTGGTGAAAATCCAAAATACAGTTTTGCAGACAGAGGTTAGGAAAGGATGCGTTTGCGTATTTAGCGTTGACAATGAAGACGAGGCAGTGCCACAGTGAGGAGGAGTGTGCTGTAATCACTTGCCAGAAAATGCCTCGGGGGGGTTTGAATGAGATGCAAGAAGAGAAAATCGTCTTTGAAAAAAAAAAAAAACAAAACAGTGGCAAAGGAAAGACAGAGGGAGCATCTACTGAACAGAAAGGTGAAGATGAGTCAAGTGCCGCCGAAAGCGCGCGAGGTCATTTTGACCCAGAATTCCTCATGAGAAGTAGAAGCGTTGCATCATATAAACCCTTGTCACGTCGAATTAAAAAAATAAATAAATAAATAAATTGCAGAAGAGCCACGATCTTTGCAATTTACTTCCCGCCCATAGAAAGGAGCGTTTTATTCAAGAAGAAAGCACCGTAAGAAAGTCGTTGGCTGCAGCAAAGGTGAGAGTAGATCCGGCGACATCCACAACTAATCCTCAGTCACGGCGTCGGCTAACGTTTGTGCGTATATTTTTGTTATTGCTTGCCGTGTATTGTCTTCTTTCATCATGGAGCCAAGATGAATCTGCTCGACATGCGAGCCACCAATAGGATCCACCAGTCGCGGGAGTTCTACGAAGGTCTATAATTAGGACCGTTCAGACCGCCATTTCATATTCTATATAAACTCGTACCGATGGCTAGCAAATGACACAGTGCGCCTGCTGCGCTGTGTCTTCTTCCCGCAAAGCACCAAGAGTTTGATCTTTCTAATTGGTTCCCCATTAAATGACCAAGAAGCCCCCATTATAAAGTGTTTTCCAGCCCTATGACGTAAATACAGCTGAAATGTACACAGGTCGCCTCAGTCATAAATGTGCCGACAATTTCTCAGTCCGTGATATGCGATGAATGTGCGTTGCTACAGCTAACTGGTTGAATTTCTTGAGAGCGTGAGCATGGAGGGGAGGGGTGAGATCTCCGACGGGGAATGATTACACCTGCTCTGAATGTGTAAGGCGGGGGCTTGGGTGGGTTGGGGGGGCTTTTGGTTGATTCAAACGCAAGATCAAAACAACAGAAAGAGGAATGGACTTTACTCCTCACAGCGAAGATGACCGGCGCTTGAAGGATGGCTGCTCGTATGACCCGCAACTCGAATCCTTCTGGCAGTTCCCAACCCTCCTCATTATTGCAGACGCGTTGCTTGATGTCTTATGATCCTGTAATTGGCTCCCTGGCCGTTAGCCGCCGCTACTACAAGAAGTACCTGACAGCCTTCTTCCATTTTTGTTGCCGCATGGCAATTCTGTGGGACGAGTTGAGGGGAAGCGGGGAGTGCTGTCAGCGAGATATAAAAGGCGAGAAAGAGTCATAAATCGTCTCCAAAAACTCAATGCGGTAAGTACGTACATGAGGAGGAGACAAGCAGCGTGAACCTGTCCCCACGATCCTTCCTTCTTCCTCTACCTCCTCCAACCTTTAAGCTCTGAACATGCAATCTCCTCCGCGGTATATGGCCCTTAAATCTTGACATCCAGAATGTGTGACGGCTATATGAGGTTAGGGTGTGTGTGTGTGTGTGTGTGCGTTCACGTGGACACGCATCTCAACCATAAAGCATTTCAAATAAATGGGCGTGCATTTTGTTGCAAGTCATTTGAAATTATGGGACCCGCGTAGATGAGCAGGCAGCGGGAAGCATGGCCTTTGAAGATTTACATTGTCCACCCGCGTTAACGCTTCCATTCCATGTTAACGTAGCAACGTTTCATCAATTGCATTCTCCATTCTCGCGAAACGGTTGACAGACTCGGTTCAAGTGCTGGAGACGTCTGCTGAGACCAGCAGCACTGAGTCGCCCACACTCCGTAGCATTTGACAGGAGAAAAAAAAATGAAGTCAGAAGTGAGGATATTGGGTCATCCTTCCACATCCTGATCCAAGCCTCTTTTCTTGGCTTCATTCACCGTCCCTTGTTCTCACCTCCTCGTCGGATTCATTAACTCTGATTGATCCCCTCTTGTCAAAGACTTTGGCACCGTAGTGAACAGCCTTGTTGCTGACATTCCCCAAATAAACATTTGGGAGTCGGGGTGGGGGGGGGGGGGTTAATGGATAAGGACGACAACCTCAATGAACAAATCAGCACAGTCGTGATGGAAGTAGCTGATGGTGTACTTGTCAGAACAAATGCTTGGAGCCAGACACTGCTGAATTGTTGCATGGAAATATTTCGCCAGCTTTACTTTACTAAATGGACATTTTGCATTTTTGTGCCGAGGCTCGTGGGCGGATGATTCTGGGCAGGCAGGCCAGCATTAAAACATCTTGCAGAAATAAAGTCTTATGCAGGAAAATGTGTGAATTATTGAACATCTCTGATTATTTCCAAAGCAGTACATGCCATCAAGATCAACAAATTGGTACAACGTGATTATTATTGCAGGGCGGGGTGGGGTGGGGAGGTGGGAGGGAGCAAAACAAAAACATTGGACCACTTTATAGTTCTACCATCAACAAGAGAGCTAAGAGAACGTGTACATGTATTAGGCTTTCAATTATGAATTGAAATGAGCGTGTGGCTCAACAGAGCAGCGTCGCGTTAAATAATTGACGAATGCTGTACATTGTGTCTCTTATGCACAGAATTTGAACATATGGGAGTGGAAGTGGGCCACTGAAAGGGTCGAGTCCTCTCTCTCTCTCAGGAAAGACAACAAACAAAGCCAAATATGATTTCAGCCATTGTATGTCACGGCACGATCTGGCGCTGCTGCAAAATCACAATTAACCCCTCTGCCTCCTGACCTTTAACACTGAAACTGTCAAATGAATTCAGCTGCTCTGTACTTGTGACAGGTGCTATGATGACAAAAAACAAACAGAGGGAAGACAGTCCTCATCAAGTGAAGAAAATCAATTGGACCTCTCGTACGAAACGGACAGCTCTCAAAACTTCATGTAGAGATGAGAAGAAACTGCAACCACATTATATTAGTTGTATATTTCTATGCCCCTTCTCGAAAATGATCATTAAAAAAGTTTGGATATTATGTGAGATCACCAAAAAAAAGAAATAAATTGGGATTTCAACTGGGTTTTGCAAACTTTTTATGTTCACTGTACACTTCTGTGTTTAACTAACTAGCCCCGATTTCCCAAAGTGAATCTGTGAGTCAACTGAGATGAGATCATAAAGATTTCACTGTGTATCCTTTTTTTTGGGTGATGCTTTGTTTTGGTGGTGTGCCATAAGATTTTTCTTTTTTTTAATATGTGGCACTGTGCTACACTACAGTAATTTGTAGTTTTTTGTGATGGACTTTTTAAATCGTTTGTAATACTGACACAAATATACATACACACACTTTAAAGTATTTACTTTTTTAAGATGATGTAGCATGATTTCCCCCCCCCCCACCCCCCCTTTCGATCCATCCAAGTCCCCACCCCAGGCTTTGTCAGTGTCGATGTCAGTTGTAAAAATGATGAACATATACTACAGATTGCACAGGTGTTAAGAGGATAGAATTAGAATTTTTGCAGTGAATAATTTTCTTTTTTGTCATTATTTGTAATGTTTGTTTGATTTCTTTTTTTTTATTTTTTAATTGAAATGCTCTTGGGATTGCATAGTTATCAAGCATGTCAGATTGATTGTTTTGCTGAGACCAAATCATTTCGCATTCCAGACAATTCCCCCCCCCCCAGGCAGAAAATTTTTTGGGTGATCTCTGGAACCTTCCAGCAGTGAGTCTGACATGATATAAGCGGGTAACCCTGCAGCCGCAGCGCATTTCTCTCTCGAGCCCTGTCATTCGAAGCAGTGAAAAGCTACGAAGCTGCTTCTGAACACGCCGTTCCATTTTTATGCCCTTTGAAGAAAATTACTCTGAGGAAAAAAAAAAAAAGATGAAAATGAAAATAATGACCTCGTTGGACAAACGAAACTGGGATTGTGATATGATGGCTGTGTGGTTGTCCTTCAAAGCGGGAGAATGGTGCTGCGTTGTCACTTGGGGTCACTGAACTCCTTGCATTCTCAAAGACTGCGTTGACCTACTCATTCGTTTTTAAAAACCCAAATCATTTACATGGCCTTTAAAAACCCAAACACTGCCAAAATTGGAGTTTTGAAAGGGTTATTGACTGCATGCGAATGTCGTCGATGCTGTTTCCTTATCACATGCCACCGGCCAATTTGGAAGTGAGATATGAATGAAGAAGTGATTTGAAGTGTTTCTATATTCGCTTCCCCACTCATTGACTTGCTTATTCCAGTGAGGGAGCTGCCTAATCAAGCCGAAGTCCTTTGAGGGGAGTATTTGTGCCAGCAAATAGAAACACAACGTGAGCCCAGAATATTGAGTGGCAACAAAATGACACGTTTGATTATTTTGTGTCGATGGGAGTTTAAAGATGAAAGGGTTCGGCAAATCCCTAATAAACAACAACATCAACGTGGAAAACACAATGACGTGCACCAACCACACAGACTACTGAAATGCCAATGGAAAGGTACTGATGAGACTGTAAACCGGTGGTGTCAAACGTAAGGGCCGCGGGCCGGACCAGGCCCGCAAATTGGTTTCATCCAGCCCGCAAGATGATTTTGTAAAGTACAAAAAAATGAAAAATGTTCAGCATGCATCTGACTTCCCACAACAAAATACACACTGCAGATGGGTGGACAACAATTTACAACGCCATTTTTACCATTGTGTTTATCCTGCGTCATTTTATGACCACAGATTGTTTTCATGAAAAGAATCAAATAAAATCGACCAGTATCTGCAAAGTTCATTTCCATTCATATGAGAACTCACAAATTTGTGGGGTATCTGAGGTTACATGTTGCTTCATTACCACTCAAGGGACTTTGGCCCAACACTCAGTCGAGGAGCAAGTGGAAAATTCCCACAAACCCCGCAGGCTTGTATTCTCAGCCGTATGCTCGTACAGGCATGGCAGCCTCCAGCCCCCGCCTACAGGCTCCTATTGATATGCACATTGCAGCCAAAGGGCACCAAACCTCGATTCAGAGATCCCGGGATTACCGGTACAGTGATCTCAGCTACTTCATCCCTGAATATTGCAGACAAACGTCATCCTGCCCAAAGACACAACAAACAAGGTGGAAAAGTGACGAAGATATAGCATGGGGTAAATCAACGATCCACTGCTTGCATCTGCCACAATGGGGAAAATGCCTCACAAGCACATTTCCTCTACTTGGGATTGCAAATGACTGGCATTTAGCGCCATTCCGCTTTTACGCTGCGAATGACGGATATGGAATATAAATGCTCAGTGACATGATGACCCAGCAAAATGGCCAGCATCCACGAACACCATGCACTCCCATCTCTCAGCGCACGCTTACACTTACAGGCTCACGTGCAGCAAGTCCTCCGGACCTGATCACTGAATATGACCCCATTTAAATTCAAACTCACCAACCGTTTTTAAATAGCTAACAGAGTTCATTGAAATCCTTTGGCCCTTTATTAGAAACCATAATTGGTGTTTTCTGTCGGTAGTTTGGCATCAAACATTTTCGAGATATGAAGATTTGGGAGTCCCAAAATCTAAATCTGTTGAGTGTATTTGACCCCAAAACAAAAGTCGTAAAAAGAAACCGCGTTTTAAGGGGTCACTATTATTCACTGTTAGTCACTGACTGACCGTTCTTTTGAATGACTAGTAGTCAAAAGTCACTTCCAAAGTTGCCAAACAAGCCCGACAATCAGTTATGGTGGCTAGTTGCAGGCCCATTCGGTACAAAAAAAGGCATTATAATGACAGAGTTAGTCAAACAATCAAAAAATAAAAGAGTTTTGGATGCCTAATGCTGAACATCCTTTTACAAGGGCATGGATGAACAGAAACATTGATCCTTGAAGCTTGATAGCGCTGTGTGTGAACCATACATCTTTGCAGATTCAGTACCATATGCTCGACAACTCGCGAAGATAATACTGAAAGATTTTTGGGGCATTTTACCAGGAACGATCGTGATGGAAAATGCTTCGTCTGTCTGCATGAATATCCCCCAGGTCCCTATTAGAATTTGGAGCATGTTCCCCTTCTATCTCTTGTCAACTCTCGTCCCAATTCTCCACATTTTTGCTTCGTGGGCCTCGTATTTTACAACAATGTAGCTCTTTGTCACATTTCAGGAGAGGTGGTGGTATATAAATGAAATTTTCAAACAATCATTTTGTGACATTCCACATGTGGGACATATACGTAATGCACATGAGGACATGACAATGCAAATTATTCAAAAAAATATTCGCGTTTATCAGAATTTTCTGTAGATATAGAAATACACAATATTAATTCCACATGAGGGCAACGTGAAAACTAAAGAGGTGGATTTGGGTCTAAATTAAATCATAGCACACATTCTGTTTGTTACTCAGACACATCAAGGTGTCACTTGCGGATAAAAAGCTTTTTCATTTTATATTCAAAATATTTATTTGGCCGTTGTCCAGAAATGAATGATATCATAAACTAGAAAGGGAAAAGGACCTGCACGGGGAGTGGAATGAGGTCAGCTTGGCCCTTGGTGCCAGGCGTCTGTGGGGTAAACACAACTTATTAGAGCCGGGGGAAGGGTCTGCATGTGTGCGTGTGTTTGAAGGTGGGGTGGGGGCTGGGGGTGTTGCTTGATGTTTCTGTGGGCGTAAACACTACCTGGCCGTTCCGCTGTGAGAGGACAGTATAAATGTACAGCAGGTGCAGTAGAGCAGGCATTAGAGGACACGCCTATAAAACTCTGCCAGTCAACTGTGAAGAGGACCAAAGAGGTGGAGCTGGAGATCAACACGAAGCTGGATGCGCTGCAAGCTAGTTTACATCCGTTGAGGTGAGAATTATTGATTCATGGCGAGACGTACAGTCGTCATTCATTTTGTTGTAGATTCATAAGTCAACTAAATTGGGCTCACCGACTCGCCAATCAGACATTGTGAGGCAATTTTGGTGCTCCTTTGAAACAGTTAGGATGAAATTTTTTAAAGCACACAACATTGAGGTGCATCTGCAAAAAAAATTTTTTTTTTCAAAGAATGTTGTATTTTATCTCTCGGTATAAATTTACACAAATATATTAATTCATTTTTCGGCCAAAATAAATCATCTATATTCAGAGATGATTTTGGTAGTTTTTGTGTCATATTATTTTCAGATAGTTATCGAATATTAAAATCATGTCATGAATCCTAATATTGCATCATTTTATTAAAAAAAGAGAGAAACCTAATGGCACGGACAGTCATGCAATCATAACCACTAGGGTGAAACTAACAAAAGTCATAATATACAGCAGAGTACAGTACTGTATAACATTTTAACTTATCTCATAAAAGTCTCATATAAATTGCTTTACTTACATGGTCCAAAGGAATGATTTTAAAAACTCATGCAACTGACCCAGACAAAATTAGCCCAAACATTTTGGCAATAACTGCAAAAAAAGAATTTCTGTAACGCTCAATGAGACCTCTGCACCTATTGACAGGTACTTGGTGAACAAATAAGACCTAATAACACCTGGGAGGAGGTTGGGGGGGGGGCGGGGGCTGGTCCACCCCACTATTTGAGAAGGACCAATTTAAACCATAGTGGTCTTTTTTCCATTTTTTAACGAAATATTGTGTTCATATTTTAGCAACAATGAGTGTGTAATTAACAATTTCACTGAAATGCACATGGCCTCACATTTGTTTGACTGACTTTTGCATCCCATTCGGAGTGGATGTGCAAAAAATGGCAACCGATATTGTGCAGAATTAGACGATAAAAACACAATCATGTGTAAATATTCTACATTGTGCGTAATCATTTAATAATCAGAATTGCTATTCATTCCTTTTGACAAAGAACAAAACTGTCTGTTAATAATCAACATCATGAGATCACATCTGAGCTCAGAGCATGACCCTAGAAGAATACGAACAAAAGCAAAAAAAACGGTTTTAATCATAAAACGAAACACACGACTGTTATCAACCTCAGGCAACTGAGTGTTGTTTTCCTATAATTGCAGATCATGATTGCAATTCATTCAGAATGATCTAGGCTCATGAAAAAGATGCAAAGGAAAAAAAAACCCCAAATGAATTCCGAGCTTTGAAGGCTGAAATAAACAAAAACTCGAGCCGCTGTACAGACTGTTTTGTACCAATTAAGACTCACCATCAAGCGTTTGTGTGCACACTTGACTCAGCATAAACATGCACATAGTTTCTTTGAGAGCTTTAGTCAGCGAATAAGGATTGAACTCGTATCTTATCTGAAAAGTTTGTTTTCTACTGAGGTTGACATATTTATTTGGGTGTGATTTTTATTTTCTGCTGGAAGATGAAATTTTGTTTAGTGTTATTGGCAGCCCGGTGGTCCAGTGGTTAGCACGTCGACCTCACAGTGCAGAGGTCGTGGGTTTCGATCCCGGCTCCGCCCTCCCTGTGTGGAGTTTGCATGTTCGCCCCGGGTTTGTGTGGGTTTTCTCCGGGTACTCCAAAAACATTCGTGGCAGGCTGATTGAGGACTCGAAATTGTCCCGAGGTGTGAGTGTGAGTACGGATGGTTGTTTGTCTCTGTGTGCCCTGCGATTGGCTGGCAACCAGTTCAGGGTTCAGATTCCAGCACCCCCCGCAACCCTTGTGAGGATAAAGCGGTTCAGAAAATGGATGGATGGACAGATGTAATTACATTGGCTGGTTTATTGGGCAAATTCGGGCATGTCAAGATATTCTTCGATTTGCGCCATGCAACTAAAAGTATTAACCCATACTGCGAAATTGTGTGTTGATAATGCTTTATTTGCTGTCATCAAGGTTGTGGACTCGTAGAAAATGTTTGGTCCTATCAATAAACGTCTCCAGAGCTACCTGGCTGAGCGAAAGCGTCGCAGGACCAGGCTGGTGACCAAAGACGGCCACTGCAACATCGAATATGGAAACATCAAGTACAGCAAGCACTTTGTCTTCCTGGCCGACTTCTGGACCACATTCGTGGAGATCCGGTGGCGTTTTGTGCTCTTATTCTTCATTGCCTCTTTCACCATGAGCTGGTTCATTTTCGGCCTGCTCTGGTACTGGATTGCCCGGAATAACGGAGATCTGACCTGGCAGGAGCCCCCTGCGGACCACACGCCTTGCGTGGACAACGTCGCCGGACTCACCACCGCATTCTTGTACTCCCTCGAAACCCAGACGACCATCGGGTACGGCGGCCGAGCCCTCACCCCCGTTTGCCCCGGCGCCGTGGCCCTTCTCATCATCCAGTCCCTCCTCGGCGCCGTCATCAACTGCTTCATGTGCGGAATCATCTTATCGAAAATTTCCTCGCCTAAAAAGAGAGCGAAGACCATCTCCTTCAGCGACATGGCCGTCATCAGCCCCAAGAACGGCGCGCTTTGCTTGTCGATACGAGTGGCCAACCTCCGCAAGACCCTCATGATCGGCAGCCAGATCTACGGCAAACTGCTGAGAACCACCAATACGGCAGACGGCGAGACGATCATCATGGACCAGGTGAACATTGACTTCATGGTGGACGCCGGCAAGGACAACCTTTTCTTCGTGTGCCCGCTCACCCTTTGTCACGTGATCAGCAAGGGCAGCCCGTTCTTTGAGATGGCGGTGGACACGCTCCACAAGCAAGAGTTTGAGCTGGTCGTGTTCTTGGACGGCACCGCCGAGTCCACCAGCTCCTCCTGTCAAGTGCGGACTTCCTTCATTCCGCAGGAGATCATGTGGGGCTACAATTTCCTGCCCATCATCTCCCGAAGCAAAGAAGGTAAATACAGGGTGGATTTCTCCAACTTTTCCAAGGTGGTGCCCGTGGCCACCGCTCACTGCGCCTACTGTTTCCACAACATCAAAGGTCACCACCATCACTCCAAAGATGGACTTGACAACCAGGGTTTTGAGGTGATTGACATCCACGATCCTGCAAGTATCACCAAGATGTAAGAGCGCACGGCCGGTGGAGCGAGACACTCCACCGATGAACCTCTCAAACATCCCAAAGTATGTTTGGCAAAACAGCGCGTAAAAGAAGCTCATTTGGAAAACGTGTGGGTCGACTGAATTATTGTGAACAATTGTTGTATGCGCGCCAAGCCACGCTCGTCAATGTCTAGCGGCCGAGAGCTTGTTTTCGGAAGGCTTGCCATGTTATGAAAATGGCTTGGCTGGAATATCGGAGGAGAAAAGGATGATTATACTTGAGGTCTTCTCGCAAAAGAAAATCGACACAAATGAGCTCTCGCCGTGAATGAAGATGAGTCGCTGTAATTTACCTCGGACCCCCGCGCATCGGATTTACTTAGGAGAGCAAAAAGATGGTGTTATTCTGTGCATGAATCTTGAACAACTTGTTTCGGGTGCCTTGCAAATGTCACGGATGACTGAGCAATATTAGCAGTTGTTTCATAATTCATACCGGTGTTGTCTGCCATACAAGAAAAGACACTTGGGCTTGAAACATTAGCTTTTGTTTATGTATTCCAGCACTGGCTCTCGCCCAGGTTTAATGTGGAACACTTGAGCGACATTGTAGTGGAGAGCAATGTTTTCATGAAACACTTAAATGATGGCTGCATGCAGCCTGAACTATTGAATGAAATCAAATATTTTTATTGTTTGTTTTTTTTTTTCTATTTGGTCTCAGGGGGTAGGTGGGGGAATAGCTGAAATAAAACTATTTTTGCACACAATATTGCCTTGCCTTGCATTGGTGTCCACATGAAATTATTATTGACATAAGGTCAAAGCAACATACTGCATATGACCCCTATTATCTATTACGGATTTTCATCTCAACAAAGTGAAGTTGTGACAGCAAACAGACGAGCCAACATGTTTGGCCGTAGAGCGTAATGGATGCAACTCTAATCCAGTATTTTAAACCTTGATTGACCCAAGGCTCTCATTTTACATCAGAAAAAAAAATCTCATCACCGAGCGAAAGTGTCAAAAATAGGATCAAAATTGAAATGATATTGATTTTCCCTCAAGTTCCTCCGAACTACATCACGTATTCTGCTAAATGAACAGCATCAGGTGGATTCTCTGGTTTAGTGCAGCATCTAATTGAACACCATTTGAGTGGTGTGCCTGTCGATGTATGTACATCGCTGGCATAGACAGAAAAACAAAGATTTATTCGTCATCAATAAATAACATTTTGGGGGCGGCAACTTCAACGGGAAGTCAACCCAAAAATGTGCTTAAGAAAATGAAAAGTTCCATGCAGCCCTACTAAGTCCAAACATGGTGTCAGAATAGGCTTTTTTTTTTTTTTAAACCTGGACCTCTGTGTGGCTGCTACTGTCTAAAGATGGGCGTGGATGCACAATTTGTAGTTGTTCCAAATTCCTGTGTGTGACCAGACATTGCCTTGTGAGCAGAGCATGAAGAGCGGTGTGTGGTGCTACGGTTGTTTTTTTTTTTTGTTTTGTTTTTTGGGGGGGGGGTTCCCCAAAAATGTGCCTCACGATGAAATGCCAAGTATAAATTAAATAGTCACCTTGGTTCATGTAATAAAAAAAAATAATAATTAAAAAAGGACATAAAATTAAAATTTCACCATCCAGTTGTTCTCAAAATGAAAAGTTGCTGTGTTACCATGGAAACAAGCTGAAGCCATTGATAGGTCACAGGAGAGAGAGTTTGAGAGGTAAAAATATTTATTTCTCACATTTTCCTATACAAAAGCCCTTTTTGAAAAGGTCCGACTTCATACATTGCAGGAATGACAATCATAATAATTAATAAGGAGGTGATGAAGGCGTTTACAAGGGGTTTGAGCAGCGTTGAAAGAAAGTGAAGGGCGGAGGCGAGAAATGTTCTACATACTTGGACACACATATATATATATATATATATATATATATATATATATAGCAGTGTGTGTGCGTGTGGTTCTGTGTGTGTGATATCCAAAATACATTGCTTATAAGAAGTAGTATAGGTCCCTTTTGACTGATATTGTTAAGATAAAAGGAATGTTCGTGGTGCATGAGAAATTGCAGGTTCCCTTTTTCAGCTGGAAGTCGGTGGATGTTAACGCCGTCTGTATTAATTTACATACAATATCTTGATATCCACCAATTTTTGGTCTGTTTGGCTTCAGAAGCAATTCAAGAACACACAGAGTTAAAATGTCCCTGTGTTTGTATTCAAGCAGTCATTTGTTTTTTGGTGGAGAAGGCAAAAAAATAATTTGTGCGCGCAAAGGCACTTGGGATGTGACACAATCTCATACAAAATAACGACAATAAGAAGAACATTTAAAAAAAAAAAACAAAAACAAAAACAAAAAAGCTAAAAATGTATTGCTCAAATGTACAAACATAAAACCGCTTAAATGCTGAAAAAAACCCAACAACTACTGAGCAGAAATGGACTTCAAAGATTTGCATTTTTTTTGACCGAGGTCAACTCGTATTAATTCTCTTGTCTCTTTTTAATACTGTGTCACATATGAAAATAGCTCTGCATAATTTATACAGTAAGTTGCTTTAATGCCTAGTTGACTGACGCATATAAAATAATAAAAAATAGGTCTGACAAACGCACAGCGTTTGCGAATCTGAGGAATTCCATGTTTCATCTCATCATATTTTCAATTGGTTTTGTTCTCTGATAAGCTTAGTCCAAAGTCGTTCACTTTCAAGTGTCTGCGTCACTTACTGGTCATGGAATGCATTTGCTCATATCAGCTTGTGCAGCCGACGATGAAAATGTTACGATATGATGCGATTACATGAGGAGGAAGTCTCTGTGCATGTTTATCTGGCCTTCAGATCAGTGAGAAACTAACATTCAAGCATACATGCTGCTCTCAAACTAGGATCCAGCCCCGGTATTATGCAACTTGACACCGTTGACTAACGCAACAAATTAAGAAAGCCACTTCTCAGTGTGACCTACGTGATCCCGGCTGGCCCCAAAAGGAGATGAGACACCGTGGCAGTCATGAAACAAATCAAAAATTGTCAAGACTTCTCATCGGGGGGGGGGGGGGGAAATATTTCGAGTCTCGTGAAGACTGCGTGGAACAGCAGTTAAAGAATGATGCTAACACTGTCGGGGTTCAATGCTCATTTCATCACACGGTAAACCGGATGCACTCGTTTTATTGCAATGCACTCGTTCGACATTTGCAGTCTTGCTAGACTTTAGCTCCGTGATTAAACCGAGAGAAGGACTTTTCATATTTACGAATGAACACGACCATCAAAATCAATTTTTTTGTTTTTCTTGACAATATGAAAACCCCTGACAATCTTTGATTTGGCATCCTCTTTTAAGACACAAACTGGACAACATTCACATTAATACTGACATGGCGGAGAGACAAAACATGGCTTGGAGGCGACGATGCAGTAAACTTTTAATAGCCGAGCGTGTCGGCCTGGGTTGACTTGTTGCAAAATTGCTTCAATTACGCCTTGACTCGGCTTCCTCAGCACAACAGAGCTGTACACGTTGCCTGTCATCAACTCTGCACGCAATGCAGAAAGCATTTAAAGTACAACTGACAGTTCAGCAGACATACAGCGCTTCCTCCCCACCATTAAACTCCTCTCTTGCCTTCCAGTTTGGAGGATAAATTAAATTGTGAATGGCATATTCCAGTTGCCAACTTTCATTCAGTGCCAAGAAAAGTCTGTGACTTGTGTGGTGGTGGTGTGGGATGGGGTTGGGGGGCTCCATCTTTTCCAGCAAATTCCAGAAGACTCTCAACACACACATAAAAGGGTACAGATGGACGAGCGGAGGCAGTGGGGGAAAAAAAAAAAAAAAGATGAAGGCTTCGATGTGGTGGGAATAACAAACTCCGTCCGACAGGGTTGTAGATGGTGGAAAGAGCGGATGCTTTCAAGCATAATGGCTGCGATGTACTCAGGAGGACGTAGATTGAGACCCGTAAATAAAGGGCCATGTCTGGGCAGACACGATTGCTCTTCTGTCCTCGGACTTTGGCTTGACAAACATTTTGGGGAAGAACTAGGTGCAGCTTTTGGGAGGGGGGTGGGGATGCGGAAAATAAAGGCACGTGTCCAAAACATCAAGTCTTCGAAAGGTAATTAAGTAGTACAGTATTCCATTTTGGACGATAGGCATCCAGTTGTTTCGAAATTTTGAACAAATATAAAATCATCTCTTTCCATCTCCTCGTGCCTCTTCATCGCCTTCATTTGGGTCGAGCGTCATTGGGAGGGCAGGTCAGCAATGGTAGGCCTTGACGAGTGGGTGGCTAGATCGAGGTGTTTAATAGTAACTGCCCAGATGGGAAGGCACGTGGGTGTTCGGATGGCGAGGGACGTTGGGGTTAGGGTAGATGCCGGCGGCGGGCGAGCTCCAGTATGGAGCAGTTGGTCCGAAGAAGTTGGAGGAGGTAACCGGCATGGACGGAGGGTGAGGGGATACGAAGTTGACCTTCTGCTGGTGGCTGTGATAGGAAGGCACGTAGGCTAGGTCCGAGGGGTACTTGTACATGGACGACTCGGTGGGATGCGGTTGCAGCGCCTGGGCGATTCCGTGGAAGTCAAATTTATAGGCGTAGCGTTTGCCGTGCACCTTGGTCATGATGTTTTTGTCGTAGTAGTAGCGCAGCGCTCGGCTCAGTTTGTCGTAGTTCATGTTGGGTTTGCTCTTGCGCTCGCCCCAGCGTCGCGCCACCTCGTCCGGGTCCGTCATCTTGAACTCGCCGTTGGTGCCCTCCCAGGTGATACAGCCGGCGTTGGCGCTGTCCGACAGGAGCTCCAAAAGGAACTGCCAAAGTTGGATCTGGCCTGAACCTGTTGAGCAGAACACGAGGGGTCATCGTTCGCACTCAAATGTTTTTTTTCCTGAGATATTACACACGTGTTCGTCGACATTCTTACCAGGATTGGCTAGGCGACTACTGGTGGGACCGAGTATCTGGTAAGGATCTGTGAACAAAAACACACACGATATGCTCGTGAAAAGGACACTGTCCTGCACTCACTGGCATAGAACAGAGGTCATGCATATAAAGTAGTAGTGAATGACCAGACATGGAAGGAAAACAGACTTGACATATTATTAAAGTTAATTATTGGACTACCCCTCCAAGGCCATCTTGCCAAGAATTTGTGAGTGGTGGAGGGCTTTAAACTAGAGGTTGAAAACACCTTCAGCTTTTTTTGTAGTCCTTGCTAAAAGTGGTGATCGTCAAGTCTCTATGACTGACTGGAGACCAGTCCAGAGAGTACTGCAGCCTTTGCCCGAAGTTAGCTGGGACAAGCTCCAGCAGCTCCCCACGACCGTAAACAGGACAGGCAGTGTAGACAACAGAGAGATGGATGGATAAAGTCTTTTTACAGCATGCCTTAAGTCTGCATGCTTTCTGCGGTTTTGGTTCGCACCAGAATTCAAATGCTCTCATCAATGAGCTATTCTCATGTCCGCATTCAAAAGATCGTCTATATAAACTGAGATAGGTACAGATACGCTACAACCGTAGGTGATACAGCCGGCGTTGGCGCTGTCCGACAGGAGCTCCAAAAGGAACTGCCAAAGTTGGATCTGGCCTGAACCTGTTGAGCAGAACACGAGGGGTCATCGTTCGCACTCAAATGTTTTCTTTCCTGAGATATTACACACGTGTTCGTCGACATTCTTACCAGGATTGGCTAGGCGACTACTGGTGGGACCGAGTATCTGGTAAGGATCTGTGAACAAAAACACACACGATATGCTCGTGAAAAGGACACTGTCCTGCACTCACTGGCATAGAACAGAGGTCATGCATATAAAGTAGTAGTGAATGACCAGACATGGAAGGAAAACAGACTTGACATATTATTAAAGTTAATTATTGGACTACCCCTCCAAGGCCATCTTGCCAAGAATTTGTGAGTGGTGGAGGGCTTTAAACTAGAGGTTGAAAACACCTTCAGCTTTTTTTGTAGTCCTTGCTAAAAGTGGTGATCGTCAAGTCTCTATGACTGACTGGAGACCAGTCCAGAGAGTACTGCAGCCTTTGCCCGAAGTTAGCTGGGACAAGCTCCAGCAGCTCCTAAACTGAGATAGGTACAGATACGCTACAACCGTTTTTTTTTTTTGTTTGTCTTTTTGAGTGAGGCTTTTGAAGATAAGAAAACAAAAAAGGGTGTCACTGATTCTGCCATGGATGAAAACATAGCTGTCTGGCATGGATTATCATCTCTGTTAAAAATGAAGTCATTTATTCGTGAGCATTTTCCACCTTTCCAATGTATGGTACGTGATGCTTTGTGCATTTACCGTACTGTGTTAAGTTTGGGCTCATTTTAAAAACCAATCTACCAATTTTCAGTGTTTGTTGCAATGATGGCGAAAAAAAAGCACATAAACAGCTGCTACCTGGTTGAGCTCTGGGCTGCTCGGCGGTTTTAGTCACATTCTGAGTTACAACTGGTGAGCCTGCAGATGGAGGGACAGAGTGACAAGGGAAAAAAAAATGACTTCAGGGAAACAGACGACACAACTGGCGGACCACAAGCCGCATGCAGCCCCCGTATATAAGTGACCCCTTATATATATCTATATACTGTATATATTCGGTATATATATGAACCTGAATTGTACAGTGCTTTGGGTCCTCACCTTTGGCACTGTGCATGTTGTTTGACCATCCTGTCCGTCGTACAGCATCATATGAAGGGTCTAATCGGATAAAAATGGAGAAAAACATTTAGGCCATGTCGAAACATTCATAACATCACTATTTCTCTGCAACGTGCTTCCTTGCCACTCCTTTTGTGTTTTTCCTGTTTTAGGCTTTTTGTGTGCGCCTACTTCCTTGGAGTAACATACTTAAGAGGAAAATATTAATGAACCATAGAACAAAAAAAAAGGAACTTGGCCCTGAAAGCAGTTTTCAACAAGGCAAATGTTCACTTATGGCTCTTTTTTTTCTTAATGAAGGTTCACAGGGGCCCCAACATCCTTGGAGGCCAGGGGAAGTCGAGAAAGAAAACTCACTCTGCTATAGTGTCTACTGTCCAGGTACCAACATTAATAATACAGTAGCTTAGTAGGCCTAAACGTTAATCAACAAATGCTGCAGCAGTTTTATTGTAAACAGCATATTTAATATTCTTGTAAGATACTGTAATATTATATAATATAGTTTCAATGTTAACATTCTGCTTGAATACAGGAAAAAGAAACTCTTGCACTGAAGCAATGATTAAAATATATGGCACTGAGGGCACTTGAGTACTTCTAAATGATTAAATTCAAACGCATTATACTAGATTAGAAACAAGCCACTGTACACATTACGCACAGGTTGAAAAGAAACATTTGCTCGTGGTATGTGCACCAGATTTTGAGAATCAATGCTCAAGTCATATTATAATTCCAATGTCAACAGTTACAACGTATTATCCCCCATATGTGGCGACAATTCATCATCGCCGTGTACCAGAATATTTATCCAGTACCAACAGCACATGAATCAATCACTGAAAACGCAGCTGAAGTGGCTCTCGACAGGATATCTGGCCGTGGCAGTGTTGTCCTGTTTGGCACGCAGGGACGATTGTGGCACACTGTTGGACAACGATTACAGACCACCGGGCAACTTGCAAAGCCCCTCACCACAAATGAAAGGTGAATTAACGGCCAAAGTTCACATTTCCACATACAGCGCGTTCACTTCCTCCCTTCATGAAACGTTGACTAACGGCCAACCCTGGCTCACTTTTGCGTGGATTCTGCTGTGTATCTGGAGGGCCTCCAGTAACAATCAGTCACTCTGACACAAACAGGTAAAACAGAGGATGCGATGAGCCCCTGGCTGAGTCTCAAAGACACCCCCTATACTCATAGTGCACCTGGCCAGCACCTTTGATGGCTTGCATTATTCTCACAGCTCAAACAGTTGCCAGAGCACAGAGAACTCCAAAGTGTTTGGCAAGCCATGGAATTTTTGTCTTCTTCTTTTTTTTTAATTTCCAATTCAAATCAGTTGTGTTTCCCCCAGAAGGCACTTGAGGTGTAAGTGTGATGACAGAGGTCGCGACTCGGATCTGCACGCTGTTTTCAAGGTTAAGAGGCAATCCCATTTCCCATTTGTGGGAATCCCAAATTGACAAGGTAAGTTTGGAAAATCTATGTGGCTACATTAACATGGAGACCGGTATATGCTTTTAATAGAGACTGTTCTGGAATAAAATATATCTTACAGAGAACATCTCTATATTTCTCGCCCTCTGTCTCTTGGCTGGGATAGGCTCCAGCAAGCCCCAGCGACCCTTGGGAGGATAAGCCGATTGGGCATTGGATGGATGAATGAATGGATGGATGGATGGATTTTATATATATATA